AGCTGCAGTGTGCCCACTCTGCCTATGGCGGCGGGCACGAGCAAGCGAACCCTTTTCCGGGGTGCTCAAACCCGCTGTCACCTCTGCACGCTGCCCACCTGGAGGCTTGCTGTTCACCTCTGTCTGAGGGCGCATGTTCTGCTCAGACCTTCGACTGGATGAAAGTTAAGAGGAACCCACCCAAAACAGGTGGGTGCGAAGCGGTGCCTGGGGCACAACGTGTTATGACTGTGAAGGAGGCTGGATAATAAGTGATCCAGACCGTGTAAAACGATGCCAGACAATGGTTGAACGAATTCTGAAGAACACGAGTGTATAAAGGCATTTGCTGAACTAAAATTCAACACTTAAAATATGACACTTCCTGATAGAGTACGCCAGTGTCTAAACTTGCTGTCTAATAGGAAAAGAGAGGCTAGGAATCACTCATGTATAATAAAATATTATAAATACAATAGAAATGTCTGCCTTTTAATGTTATCTTAGACCTGATACATGTATTGCATCATGTTTCAAAATTGCTGACATGAATTGAAGGCTACGGTTTTTTAAACGTAGCCTGCTGTAAGGAGAAATGACACAGGGTATATCTCTTTTCTGCAAGGTCACAGTGATTTGGTTCTCTGTCTGCAGGAAGGTCTGGGGAATACGGTTATGGGGGTCAGCCGAACACGGTCCGGACCAACTTTACCACAAAGCAGCTGACAGAACTAGAGAAAGAGTTCCACTTCAACAAGTACCTGACCCGGGCGCGGCGCGTAGAGATTGCGGCTGCGCTCCAGCTGAATGAGACTCAGGTGAAAATCTGGTTCCAGAACCGAAGAATGAAGCAGAAGAAGCGGGAGAAGGAGGGGCTGCTGCCGGTCAAAGCCCCAACCTCTGACCCGGGAGAGAGCAGTCAAGAGAAAATTGACGATGCAGTATCCGAGAAGTCTGTCTCAGCCCCTTCTACTCCTTCTCCCACATCTTCCACTGCGTCTTCTACCGGGGCTGATCTGTACTCCTCTAATTAAGAATCAGCTTTACCTCTTTGGCTCACAGGCGGCCTGAATATACCAAAGCTCATACTTGATGTTTCGAAGCCAAAGGTCTGGTGGATTCCTTGTGAGGACAACTTAGG